GAAGGGTATAATGGCTCGTGCCTATAATCCTAGCATTCTAGGTAGGAGACTGAGGCAGGAAGGTCACAAATTCAAACTCAGCCGGGGCGATTTAGTGACTAGTAGGAATCTGTCTCAAAATAAAAAATAAAAAGAGACTTAGTTTAAAGGTCCCAGGCTCAATCTCTACTACTATTACAATAATAATAACAGTAATAATATTAAAGGAAAGCATGTGTCGGGGAAGAGGCTCTATGTGACCTCTGTGTGTGTACCTCCTCTCCAACTTTTCTGTGAACTTCAAACTGCTTTACAATTAAGGACTGCTGGCCTCAGAAACAGAAATATGGAATTTTGAAAGGAAAACTCATTAGAAAGGAAAATGGGGTTGAGGAATTCTCTGAGAAAGGAGGAGGAAACATTCAGAAATCAGAAGGGAAAAGATGAAAGAATGGGAACCAGTTCGGGGTCCAGCATCCCATTAATAGGAGCACCTGGAACCAGACAGCAGAGAGAGAGCCGGGGAGGAAACGCACCAAAAACTGATACGAGCCTGTACATTCCTAGAACTGCAAGACGTGGATTCCTAGATCGAGACGTGTCCGTGAGAGAACTGCACTGTGGGTGAGAACAGAGCCTTATCAACAAAGACGATGTGTGAAGCATCAGGTCCCCTGGACGAAAGACAAGGTTCTTAATGATTCCAGAGACACAACTTGGTGATGAACAAAAAACCCACCCTGAGCACGGCACAGCTCACAGAAGCTGCAAGGAAATCCAGGGATGCCTTCAAAGTGTTCAGGGGAATTATTTTCAAACTGGAATTTTGCATCCAGCTAAACCATCACTGGAGCCTAAGGGCAGAATAAAAACACTTTTGCATATTTGCTTATCATGCTTTCTTTTCTAGGATGCTACTATAGGATGTGCCCCACCGAAAAGGAGGTGTAAACCAGGCAAGTGAGAGGCTTATGATCCGGGAAACAGGGAGCTAACGAGAGAGACAGGGATGACAGGGAAGGGCCATCGCGGTGGCCAGCAGTGTGGTGAACCCAGGGACGGACGGCCAGCCACGGAGGAGCCACTCCCCGGGGTCGGTGTGGAGGCCTGGGCTCCCAGGGAGGAGACTTACACAACAGGGCCAGCGTTCGGGAAGATAAAAGTGCATGAAACTTTTAAAGAGAACCAATTGAACAAAATGGTAATTATTAATTCCAGAAGGGAAAATGTTGTTCAGAGGAGAAAAAACAACTGCGGTCTCGCTCCTGTCTCAGCTGCGGAGAGTGTTTACATAACCGTGATAGATTGAATCCTGGGGGTGGCTCTCACCAAAATTACACCACTGTCACCGTGGGAGGGGCTGAGCAGCGCAGGAAGTGTGTGTGTGTATGTGAGACAGAGACAGAGACAGAGACAGAGACAGAGACAGAGACAGACAGAGGCAGAGAGAAAGAGACGGACGCAGGTAGAAAATGTATATGTGGAATCAGCCTCTCATCTCCCATGGTAAAAAGTCACTTAGAAAGGCTGAAAGTGGAAACTTTTAAAAAAAATATCAGTTCAATCACAATATTTTGAAATATAGAAATAAATAAGCCAAAAGAATTGTTTTAAAAGAATTGAGTGTAGTGGCTTCTGGGGGGAGCCAGCAGAGCCAGGGTAAGAAGCTGGGTTTGGCTGTAATGTCCCTGGATCACTGATAAAAATCAAAACAAAAAGAGAGATTTAAAACAAAGAGAGGGCGAGAGGACAGAAAGCTCACATACATCCCGAGCACCCACCAGGGTCACCTCCTCCAACACACGACGTGCATAGCACTGTCCTTGCGATCCTGGTGAGAAAAGAGGCCCGGAGACCTGGTCACCTGCCTGGGGACACACAGCGCTGAGAGGCCTCATGCGCCTCTGCTCCCTCCCCGTGAGCAGCTCCTGCCAGGCCAGCGCTTTGTTTTTGTTCCGAGTTAGGGAAGCAGGAAAGGTCCAGTCTCTTTCCCAAGCCTTCCTCCAGCCCCACTGACTTGGGACAGGACCGTCAGTGGTTTAATTTGATCCAGATGGAAGCTGGCTTGGCCTTTGCATCTGCCTTTGGGAGTGCTGGGATTTGCAGATAAGTCTTGGGATCAGGAGGAGGATGAGGAGGTGGGAGGGTGACAGGGCCCGCAGGCTGGGGCGCAGAGTCCACCGGGGCGTGAGGACCTGACCGACAGCCTCCTCCACAGCTGCCTGGCCTGTGGCCTCCGGCCACCACCAGGAGCTCAGGGTCACGCCCCTGGCGCCCCCATTCCCACAGTCACACACTCCGAAGGGCTGCAGGTGTGCAGGGGGGTGGCAGCGCCTGGGGTCACAGTAGAGGCGGGGGCGGGGCGGGGAGGGGGCAAGACCAGCAGCCTGAGGAGCTGACCTCAACCAGGCTGTGAGAAACGCCAGGGGCGCGGCTGGCACAGACCCTGGCGTGGAGGAAACAGCAGGTGCAGGCGCCACGGGGACCCTGAGACTGACTGGGGCTGCCACCCCACCCCTGGGACCCCAGGAGAGACACACAGCTCCGGAAACCCAGGCTCCACGTCTCTTTAACCAGGAAGTCGTTGTGAAAGTTTAAACACAACTTGAAGTGAGAAACAACAGCCTGTTTTTTTTTTCTTTTAAACTACGAAATGCTCCACACATGTTCCTGGTGAAAGACAAGCTTCTCCGGCCAGCCCTCCCCACCCTCGGTGCGTTTGCCCCATTTCTCTTCACCAACATTTTTACCTAGTGGATGAGCCCCAGCCTCTCTAAATAGACAGCACGTGGCTCCTCTTCTTTCTGTTTTGGTGGAGAGCAGGCTGAGCCAGGAGATCACTGTGTAGCTCAGGCAGGCCTCGAACTCATCGAAACCCTCCTGCCTCAGCCTCCTGAGTGCTGGAATTACAGCATGCGCCTCTATGCCCAGCTTCCCGTTTCTTGATCTACCAATTTTAGGTGATGAAAAACGAGAATTTAGTTCAGGAGAACACCTTCCCTCCTCTTCTCTTCCTCTTTTGTGATCAAGTGATCTAATCTATTTGTTACAGTTGCATATTCCAATAATATATTTACATTTATAATTATTTCATTAAAAGATAGTTAAATTCCTTATCTCAATAAATGTATACAAGGATTAAACCATCAGCGCCTTCCCTTTCTCATATTCTCCCATGTTGAGCATTCCATTTGCTATCCATGTACTATTGTATTTTTAATTGAGCATTCCTTTGGTCGGACCTTTATTTTTATATTTTTGAGATAATTACATTCCATTCTTTAATCAACACAAAGCACATATGCTTTTCTTCTGGTTATTTTAAGAAACTGAAACCACGGGGTGTGGTGATCCATACCTGAATCTCAGCACTTGGGAGGCTGAGGCAGGAGGATTGCCTTGAGTATCAGGCCAAGCCTTGGCAATACAGTAGGTTCAACACCAGCCTGAATTACAGAGTGAGACCCTATCTCAAAAAAACCCAAAATAGTAGTAATGATAACAACAACAGGCTTGTGGGATGGGTGTAGGCAGCCTCCTGCCATGGGCTGTTTGTCTTTGGCCTGGCCACCCTGCCTTGGGGCCAGCTGACTATGAATGAAACTTGTACAAACTGTGGGCTGAAGCAAACTTTTCCTCCTTTTACTTGTGGGGATCAAGTATTTTGTCCCAGCCATGAAAAAAGTAACTAAGACACAGGGTAAATATTATTCACTCTGTAATCAGTGCTATGCTAGAATTAAATTGTCTTTATTGTTTTTCTTGTAGTTGATGCTCGCCTTTCTTTTTCCTTGCATTGTCTTATTTCATCCATCTTTAAGGTCTTCCACAGTCTTAAGGTTAATATAAAATCTGTGGAATTTCTATGTTGTGAGTGCCACGAAAGCAGGCACTTTGTTCTTTTTTTGCAGGTGTATGTCCTCAATATGCCACAGTAAGCCTGAAATCAGAATAATTCCTTTTCTCTAAAGACTGCTTTGAACCTCAGTTGTACCAAAACAACCTATGAAATGTCAAGTACTAAAAATGCAAAATTATCATTCTTTTTACTTAATTTCTTCATTTTTAGTTAAGTATAGGAATCTTTCCCGTCTCCTGACTAATGATGTTACCATTGATGAGAAGCTCATTTTATGCATTCAGGCATTTCTGATTCCTAGCGTGGCTTCCTTTTCTTAACCTTAAATTTACCTCTGTCATTCTGCCCCATTGGGTGTGGCTCTTCTGTAGCATCTCAGAGGGTAGACAGTTCCCTGCTTCCTGGACCAGTCATTGTTCAGAGATATGGAAGTCGCACGGTGACTTCCGGGGACTCATCTTCTGCAGAGGGCATTTCCAGATCTTTATCCCACTCCCTTTCCCCCTCAGTCTCCCCCTCTTAACCACTCCGATTATGCTGCTCCAACACCAACAGCACCCACAGACTCTGGGGCCTGCAGTCCACAGAGGAGACCCTGTGGTACAGCCTGGGATCTTCCTGCTTCTTAAATTTTCTTAGATGCTCAACTCTTGGTCCAGCAGGAGGCTCCAGGACAGAAGACAGTGGCAAGGGGACCTCTCTTTCATTTAAAATGTCAAGTGTTTCATACTCCATGGAGCGTGCGTTGGAAGCCCAGGAGTGTCCCTCTGTTGTGGCATGGCAGATGACGCCATTCCAGGGCACACGTGTGCTCAGAGCAGGGTCACAGATCTTGCTTCCCAGACCTCGGCCTGAGGCACAAGCTGGTTTGTGGCAGGGTTTCCCCTTGTACACACGCATACGCATGTGCACACACAAACAAATATGCACAAATTGAGAGCAATGTAGGGAACTTTCCATAAAGTTCAATTGATTAGACTTTTTTATTCTGCAAGTCTCTTCCTTTTGCCTGTTTTGATATTAAATAGAATTATTGATGTTAAAATTTTAATTCAAATTATTTTGAAAATGATAGGTGATTTCATCCAGAGGCTTCCAGAATCACACTCCGGGGAGATGGAAGTGGACATCTTGATAATATTTTAATGAGGTCGTTGGCAAACTAAGAAGTTGGGGGCTTTATGGGCACTTGTTATGGACAGGGGTGTGGGATTTACTTACAGGTTTAGTCCTTTTTTCTGTGCTCTAACTGCATGCCACAGGCTGGTAGTTTATGAAGAGTACATGGTTCTGGAAGGCATTGCATGCAATACAGCAAGCATATTTGCTTGGGCAGGTTTTCCTCTTTATAAAAAGCCACTAACACCATCATGGGGAGCCCCACCCTCATGATCTCAGCTAACCCCAGTTACCATGAATTTTTTTAAGCACCATGAATTTATGGCTTTCAGGATGCAGTTTCCAACACAGGAGATTTTGGGGGACACAGATCAAAGCATAGCACAGCCCCCTTCCCATCCAAAACTATAGGACCCACTGAGCTGACTGGATGGAGGATGGAAATCCTCAGCGTCCCTGACTTTAGGTGCAGCGACTTTCAGAGCCCCCAGCAGTGCTGTCGTCTCTGCTGCTCCGGAGGTGGGAGGAGTTGGAATGAGACTTTCCTTTTCCTTTCTTGGAGGTGTCCTATAGGAGCCTGGTGATTGGCTTCTCTTCAAGAGGAAGGGAGAGAAGAGGCAGCGCACGGTGCATGGAGGGGCATTGGAGGCTGCAGCTCCCAAAGCCCTGGGGCTGGGTGTGCTGGGAAGGCGTCCTGAGAGGTGGAGGCACAGCGGCCGTGCGGGGCAGACCAGGAGGGACTGGTCAGGCTGAAGGTGGTGAGGCTCGCTGGGGCGGGGAAAGCAGGTGTCAGGCGCGAGGAAAGTCAGGGCGGCGACTCTTCCTCCCCCTGGCGTCCAAGGTTGGTACTACAGTCAAGTTTAGTCCTGGGTACACGGTGGGCCGCAGCTGCCCTCAGAGATGCCCTCTTGACTTGGACCCAGCTCGCTGCTCCTTTTGTTTCTCTAACGAGGTCCCTGTCCCGTTTGCGGGAAGGGCAAGGCATGAACGACTTGAGAACAACCAGGGACAAAGAGCAGCAGTGACAGAACTGCACAGTTAGGGGGCATCTCTGTTCCCCAGCACAGACCCCTCCAGACCTGCCCGGCCACGGATGGGCATCTTAGGGACTCGGGGAAGGCATTTTTGCAAGAATGGGAACAGCAAAAATAGCTGCCTTACCCGGGGCTTGTCCTGTGCCAGGATGATGTGCCAGGGGCTGTGCATGTGGTACCTCAGGACCTGCCAGTGTTCTCCACATTATGGAGGAGCCTGGAGCCCAGAGATGTTAGGGAATCTGCACATAGTAACACAGCTGTGAAGAAAAAGTAGCTAGGTGTGGAGATGCGTGCCTATAATCCCAGTTACTCTGGAAGCTGAGGCAGGAGGATTATAAATGTGAGACTTGTCTGGGCAACTTAGTGACAGCCTGTCTCAAAAAAAAAAAAATTTAAAAGGGGTCAGGAATGTGGCTCAGTGGTAGAGCACTTGGCTAGCATGCATGAGGCCCTGGGCTCAATCTCCAGCATGCAGAGAGAGAGACAGAGAGAGAGAGAGAGAGAGAGAGAGAGACAGACAGACAGACAGAGACAGGAATTCTGCTACATACCCATCTGGCCCCAGACTACTGCTCCTGTTGTAGCTCCCACAGTCTCCCTTGGGAAGGTCATGCTTAAACCAACCAGCAGATACATTCATACATGCCCCAGTTACCCATGAAGTCATCATGAGTGCCGCCCACCACGTTCCAGCTGCTTCTGGGCACCGGGAGGGAGTGCGAATCCTGCCCTCCTGGAGTGAGAAACTGCCATTTGCTGCAGTTGGAACAAGTGTCCCCCAGAGGCCTGTGTGTCCATGGCCCGTGTGTCCCTGGGAGGTGTGAGACCTTTAGGAGGCAGGACCTTGTTGGAAACCTTCCCATCATAAGAGGGTGTGCTCTTAGGGGACACAGTGGGACCCTGGCTCTCATGATGCACTGGGTCTCATCCAAAAGTGAGAGGGCCCACTGACCATGGCCAAGATTTCCAACACTCAGCATAAACCTTCGGCCCTGCCACAGGAGCACCTCAGGAGTGCTGTCCTGGTGAGGGGACTAACACGGTACACGAGTGACTTCCGTGACTGAGGAAATGAAAGCAGAAGCTTTGTAAGTCAGTTTCCCTCTTTCCCATGCCACTGCTACAGAGCCTCCTGCTGATCTGTGCATGTGAACACATAATACGAGTAAGAAATTAGCCTTGGCTGTGAGAGCCACCGAGACGCAGGGACTGCTTGTTACAGCAGCAAAATCTCGCATACCCTGCCTCCTTCTCGTCCCACAGAACACGTCAGACTCCTAAGGGCTGGCAACAGTGGGGCTCTTCGAAGTTTTCTCTAAACCCGAGTCCTCATATTTTTTTCAGTTGCTCCTCCAGTTGGTTGACCTCTCCCTCCGTCTTTTCTTCCAGACTCATGGCACCGTGAGACTTCAAAACGATCACCGGGGAGCAACCAGCAGAGCTGGCTGCTTTTCCCGCTTCTCGGTGACACGGCCAGTAACAGCACAAAGCCTGGAGCAAATAAACAAAACTAACCTACCCTGGCCCCTGTCCTGACCTGCCTGGTACTAATTCTTTGGGCTCCAGGAACAGCAGGGGCTCAAGATTCAGACCCAGGCTCGGATGGTTATCCGTACACTGCTTTGGGCTTCCTGGCTCCCTAGCAAGCTCCCTAGCCTCTCTGAGCCTGTCTCCTCAAATGGAGGTGAAAGAAATAACACAGACCTTAAGAGTTCAGAGTCAGGTGGAACATCCAGCACCCCCGGGTGCCTAGTGGACCTGCATAAATGTCTCTCCCGTCCTTTCCTCCCTGCCCCAGCCCACACATCCTGGGAAAGGGAAGGCATTTCTGGAATGAGGCCCTAGACTAGGTGCCAATCTCTGTGTCTTAGGCCAGTCCGGACCCCTTCCAACCCCAGCTCGCAGCTGTCTGCTCCCCCTTCCTCCCTTCTGGGGTGGGGGTTGGGGTGGGGCCGTCCCATGGCGCTGGGGTGCAGGGAAGTGGACTCCAGGCTGCAGATGTCTGGAGCTCAGGGTAGGCTGCTGAGCTAATCCCGGGGCTGCTGGTGAGGCTGTGCCAGAGCTCAGAAGTGCGTTTCCAAGGGCCTCTCCTGCCCGCAGCGGCGGCCCGTGGCTCAGCTCGAATTTCCCAGGCCCCCAGCACAGGAACAGCTGCGTGGCTTCCCCTCCCTACCTCCATTCCCTCCTCTCCTCCCTGACATGAGAGACAGCAGAGCAGGGCTGGCCAGGGGTCTGGACGGAGTCCAGGAAACTCCAGCCACCCCGCCCAGGTCTCTCTGAAGCCTTGGGGAGTGCAGGCACCTGGGGTTTCTCGGGCCTTTCAACTCACAGACACGTTTCCTGCTGCTTTTCATTTGGCCCAAACCCTCCAGCCCGGCTTTGATGTTTGGATTCATGTCCACCCCTTGGCTGGCTGGCCGGGCACCTCTACCCAGAGTGCTGGGGTGAGACCAGGCTCGGGGCAGGGCTCTCTTGGCCGAAGCAGGGCCCTACCTGCAAGCCTGCTCAGCTTCCTCCCGCCCTCGGGCTCCTGAATGCCCCTTTCATGTGCCTCCCAGGGCAACGGGCTCTGGCCACCCACTCCTTGCCCCTGTCACTCTCTCCCATCCCGGGCAGGAGTGTGTGTGCGCACACGTGTACGTGCGTGTGTGCACGAATGCTCACTACCATTTCCTGAATGCTTGTTACAAAACTTGCTTGGTTTTATCCTCCAATGTCTTGTTTTTTTCCTTTAACAAGAAAAGGAAGGAGAAGAGCCAGAGAGAAACTGGACTCATTTGTAGAAATGGGACAGAGCAAAGCCAGGCTTGGAGCCCAGCTGGGATGAGTTTGGGACCTCACCTTGTGACCTGGACAAGACCTGACCAGCCACCCCCCAGGAGCAGGCAGGGTGGCGTATATGTCACTCAGCGAGCTCAGTCCAAGGCAGAGAGTGAGGAGACAATTGTGATTCAGCTGGTGCAGGGGACACCCTTTTGCTCTAGTGTCCCTTGGTTTCAAATGCATGAGTTCATGCAGCAGGACTTTCATTCTGGCTTCTTTCACTTGGTATAACGATGCTTTTAAAGCTCATTTAGGTTGTAGCGTGGATCATTTCACCCTTCCTTTCTTCCTTTCTTTCTTCATTCTTCTTCCCTCCTTTCCCTTGGCAGAATATCACACCCTAGACAGTGCCTTTGTTTATCCATCCATCTGATGGACATCTGGGTGGTTCCACTGGGTCCCCTGCGAAGTCAAAGTCTTTGAAGCCTGACGGAAGTCCCACTGTCATCGCTCACCGGCCCCATTTAGAGTCCTCCTTACCAGGAGGTGGCGTGGAACTTGTCCAGCCTGCCCCGGTGGCTTTGATGGCAGCTATGTGGCTTACTAGAGTGGCTGCTGGGCAGCAGGCCTTGAGGAACATGCTGAGCTACTGTGGCTTTTGTTTAGACTGCATGGTCCGGGGTAGAGGGAGAAGAGGATGGGAAGAGGAGGGAGAGAGAAACGGTGAGCTTCTGGAAGCTTCTGGCTGGTGACTGGAGTCCAGTTGGGCTCAGGTCTCACATCTGAGTGCCATCAAGTAGAAAATCCTTGGCTTGTCCAGATGGGTAAACTGAGTTCCGGGGAGCAGCAGGGGCTTGTCCAGTTGAGCCAGGGCTCACAGTATGGACACAGGGTGCCCACTTGGATTCACAATGCCTTCCTGACATCAGCACAGGCCTTGGGTTTGGAGGGGCTGTCCTGCCTTCCTAGTGGGACTATGCCCTGTCCCGCTGGAAGCTGACCACCACATCAGGTCCCTGCACCCGAGAGCCAGCGTAGATCTGGATCCCTGGCTGCTGCCTGTCCCCTCTCCTGCAGTCCCCTCTCTGCAGGGGCAGCTCACGCGAGACAATGGCTGTGACAGACGTCCTAAGTTGTAAAATCCTAAACCAAGGGAAAACAACACCTCAGTTCTTCTGGAGTCTCATGTCCGGGCAGGCACAACCAGCCATCGCCTTCTCCTAGAGATGACCGCTCTGTTCCATGGTTGGGGGTGGGCGGGAGGGTGTTTACTTTGACTCCCTGTGGCCTGGCTTCGATCCCTGAATGCACATGAGTCAGCCCCGGCTCCCGCTGGCCCTCGGCCCAGGCCTGCACCTGACTGCACTAATCTGCCCTGGCCTCGACACACGCACAGCAGCTCGGTCCCCGGGAACCAAGCCCCTCTGTCCTGTGAGGCTCTGCCTGCAGCTGTACAGTTCCGTCAAGCCGAGGGGTGGGGTTGGGAGGACCTCTCATGCTCAGCCACCCTCAGAGCCGTCCTGGGGCCTGCTGTCTCCGGAAGTGAGAAGCGGACTGAAATCCACACATCCGAGCCCAGGGGTGCATACCAAGTTTTCGCCAGAAGACAGAAGGCAAAAAGACGTGGTTCCTGGCAGCAAAGGGCTGAGAAGAAAAATGCAAGCAAAAGAATGAATAAAGACCCTGTCCTAAGAGTTATCTAGGTCTTCCATCCACATTTTAAAAATATTCTCCTATTTAATTAATTTCCGGGATACTTTAGGGTGAGATAGCACCTCTGTTTTTCTGGGATAAGCATTCACATCAAAAACCAAAAGGCATCATCCGGTGTGGCAGTCTATCACCATGTGCTCAAAACCACCTCAGCAGACAGCTGTATTCATTAACTCAGCCAGGAAACATGGTTAAGCACTGTTCAGTACCACAGAGTTTGTTGCTGTAACAAAAATCCCCAGATTACAAGGGTGTGAGCATGGGAGTTTATTTCCTCGGTCATAAGAAGCATCAGGAGGAAACTGAGGGCCGGTAGGTGTCTTGACCACGTCAGGAGCTCAGGTTCTGTGTTTTTGCCCTATCCTCTTCAGGAGTGTTTTTCTATCTCAGTAGCTCAAAATGGCTGTGTTAATTCCTGCTATCACATCTGCTTTCCAGCCAGTTATGAAAAGATAATAGAAGAGTACCCTTGTTATTTTTTTTTTTTATTATTATTGGTTTTTCAAGATTGGATCTTGCTGTGAAGTTTAGTCTGGCCTTGAACTCCCCATGTAGCCAAACCTGCCCTCAAACTCACAGCAGTCCTCCTGTCTCAGCCTCCTTTGTGCTAGAAATACAGGTGTATGCCACCACATCTGGCTCCCCTTGCTTTTTAAAAAGCTGTTTTTTAAGGAGATAATCCATATGTTATTTAAATGTACAATGAAATGTTTCTAGTGTATTTAGAGTTATCAACCATCTCCACAGTTTTAGGACATTTTTGTTGCCCCCCAAAGAAACCTCAGATCCATTAATAATTATTTTCCATTTCTGCTGAATCCCCTTCTGCCCTAAATAGCCACTAATTTACTTTCTATATCTATATCTGGATGTTCACAGCAATGAAATGCAAGACATAAAGCAAAAAGATTCTTACCAGGAAGAAACAACCGATAAGCCAGGCGTGGTAGCTCACCCCTGTAATCCCATCACTCGGGAGGCTGAGGCAGGAGGATCATTGCAAGTTCAAGACCACCCTGGTCTACCAAGGGAGCTCAAGGCCAGCCTAAAATGCAGAGTGAGATCCTGTCTCCCGGAAAGACAGGGCTGGGGATTTAGCTCAGCAGCATAAGTACCTGCCTAGTAGGCACCAGGTTGTAAGTTTGATCTCCAGTAACAAAACAAAACAAAACAAAAAAGGCAAAAAAAGAAGAAAAGAAACAACAGGAAATAACACAATCCCTCTTTTCAATGAACATAATCTAGTAGAATAAATAAAACAAATTATCACACATGTTGAAATATTTTTAAAACAACAGAATCTGTAACTTGGAAATACTTTAACTTTTATTTTTTGTTTATCTCTCTACTATTTCATTCTTTGTGTTTCTCATATCAGAGAAACCATGGAATATTTGAGCTTGCATGTCTAACATTTCTCTTAACATTGTGTTCTCAAGTTATGTCCAATTACCTACAAATACTCAAGATTGTCTTTATGGCAGTATAGTACTCCACTGCACATAAACGTACATTTTCCTTATCCATCCGTTGATGCACATATATGCTGTTCTCAAGATCTAGCTATTATAAATTGTGGGGCTATAAACATGGATACCACTGTAATTTGATGGTTTTTAACTCTTTGTAGAAAATGTCCAGAAGGAGGATAGGAGGGTTAAGCTCTTCCACTTAGGTCTAAGATCTATTGTGGTTTGTTTTCTATATGGTGTGAGGAAGGAATCCCAGACCTCACTCCGCCTGTGGTTGCCAGCTTTACTAACACGATTTGTTGAAAAGACAACTCTTTCCCTGTTGAATTTTCTGGGCACCCTTGTAAAAAGTTAACTGACTGTAACTTCCCGGGTTTATTCCTGGAATCTCAGTTCTGTGCCATGGACCCTGCTGTCTTCTGTCCTTACATCAGTACCATATTGTCCTGACTACGCCTGCACGGTGCTAAGTTCTGAGATCAGGAGGTGAGAATCCTCCTGTGTTTTCTTTCCTTTTCAAAATGGTCCCAGCTACTCTGGGTTCCTTGAGTTTCCATATGAATTTTAGGATATACAT